TAGGAGATTTAACCTATTTTACAGTATGTATTCCAGTAAGTTCTAATTCACCCACACATCTGTAAAGTAATAGAGTTAAATGTTAAGCCTACAGGAATCCTTCCAAAGATGGGTGTCCGCCCAAAATGTATATGCACTTTAACAGCGGATAGCTCAATTTTGAAAATGAAATGTATTTTAATAAAGACTGCCTTTATAATTATTCAAAGTGTGTGTACATTTTGGGGGGACACCGTATATAGCACACAGTTGGCTTTCTGGAATTACAGCTGGGAACTCTGCTACAAGCTGACTCTCTAGAGAGAGATCTGTGGTGGGGTCATGCTGGGAGACCTGAGTACAGGGAGGTTTCTTTAGCTTCATGCTGGTTCTCCATGATCATGCCTTTCTCAGCAAACAACCTTTTGGTTATATAATGTGCATGTTCTTTTTAAAATATATTTTATTGATTTTTTTACAGAGAGGAAGGGAAAGGGATAGAGAGTTAGAAACATCGATGAGAGACAAACATCGATCAGCTGCATCCTGCACACCTCCCACCAGGGGTGTACCCGCAACTAAGGTACATGCCCTTGACCGGAATCAAACCCAGAACCCTTCAGTCCACAGGCCGATGCTCTATCCACTGAGCCAAACCGGTCAGGGCTAATGTGCATGTTCTTAATTCTTCCTGTCATTACCCCTTTACAATTTTTTCAATAGAGACTACATTTGCTGCTGTTTTCTTGAAATCCTCTTGGGATAATGTCCCATAGTGATATTTCATAAAGTCTACAAAATTAAGCTTTTAATGTTATAGCAATGCCTCTGTGGCTTTTGACTCAGTCATTACAGCAGTAAGAAATTTAAAGCTCAAAATGAAGAGGAGGATGCAAATTCCCCATCAGATTGCCTGTGTGATCTGTGCCTTGTTATTTCTGATAAGAAAACTTTGATGTCTACGGCTGTGAAATTTCTATCCTGTGATATTTGTTACCATGCTGGGAGGTATCATCTTTTGGTTACCCTGTAATGTAAGTGCCTGACATTAAGCTTTTTGATTGTAGTATGAGCGCTTGACATTTTAAGTTTTTTACTGCCAAGGCATCCATTTCCGAAGGCATCCATCCTGAATAAACGTATGTGTGACAGCTACCAGCAAAACAACCACACAAGGAACTAGGCTGTCCCAGTCATGAAGTTCACTTTTCCAGAAAGCCCTGGGTAACCAAGATAACTGACCATTTGAGTAGCCCCATTTCTCCCTTCCTGCACCCTAACTCCCTTTATTATTTAAATTAGCCAACAGAGAGTGAATCCATAAAAACCTAGGCACCCCACCCTAGAACCCTAAACAAAGGCAGAGTTCTAGGTCTGTGATCTCTCCCATGCCCCCAAACTTGCTGTGTCCCTTAGGCTTGCTGGGTACCCTCAAGGACCTGTGAGTGATAAATTTTGCTCCTCAAAGTTCCCTGATGATTTTGGTGCAGCACATCCTGCAGCCATAATAGAAAGCCTGGGGCTGGTACTGCTACTACATTAACCTCCCCGAAAGCCCCTGCCCCAAAGTGGGGTAAATGTCTGTGCCGGCTCACCACAAGTGATCAGGCCAAGCAAGTACCTCAGGCATTCCTAGCAGACAGCATCACTATCAGCAGGTGGAGAGCCACGCGACAGTGATACTGCCACACTCTGTTCCTGGGAAGTAGTATCTTCACTGTTCTCTGGTTGCCCCAGTCAGTTAAATGCACATAATCTTTTTCTTTTGTCTTTGCTAATAATACTTATTGCATCTTTATTTTCTATTGTATTAAGTTTCTTGAAACAATCTTAAAGTTACAGGAAAAAGTCCAAAATGCTGTACAAATAATTATTTTCCTTAACTATCTCAAAGTAAACTGGAAACACAATGTCCCAACACTCCCAAAATACTTTAAGTATTTTCTACAACAATGATATTCTCTTATATAGCCATAATACGACCACCAAAATCAGGAAACTAACACTGACACTTCACTGCTGTCTAACCTTAGACTCCATTCTAGCTTCACCAGCGTCTCAAGATCTTTGTCCTTTACACCAAAAGGATCCAGTAAAACCTTGCGTTGGATTTAGCTGTCATGTCTCCTTAGTCTCCTTCAAAATGGAACTCTTCCCTCAATCCCCTACTTCTGAAGATTACAGTCCACTTATTTTCTTAGAAAGTTCCTCAATTTGGATTTGTCTGGTGTTTCCTTATGATGAGATTCAGATTATGGAGTTCTGGCTGAGTAATACAGAAGTGCTATCAGGTGGCACACAACCAGGATTTGTACTGTTCCTAATAATATTCACACTGATCAGCTGCCAGGCTTCTCCATGGTCAAGTTACTCTTTTCTTCTTTAATTAATAAAGACATTGTGGGAGGTAACACATATTTTCTCCATAAGGCACATTGTAGTCTGCTTACACTTAGGAACATTACATAACACTTCATCACCACACCTAGGGTCATTTTAAACAGTACAGTCACCAACCAACAGCATAAAAATGCAAAATGTGGCCATTAAATACACACACACACACACACTTCTATTCCAAAACACTATGGAGAGTGCATTCTAATTATCTCCTTAAACCTAGCTAGCTCCCATTATCCTTAATATTAGGGCATACCTATAAGAACAACCTTCTGCAAGTAACCAATCTGTTGCTGTCCTCTTCTCTGCACCCTCTCAGACACATCCTCCTCACCCTGCTCAGCCCAGACAGCCTGTGCCAGATCAGCCCTCCGCGAGAATGCCCATTTTACCACATTTGGGCTGTCACAGCCGCACCACACCACTGCCTCCTTCACAAGACCTCGCTTCTTTCTCAGCCAGCTCTGGCCCTGCAGCTCCCTACTTCTCCAAGTGAGACGCCTGCATTGTTCAGCACCTCCGTATGTCTTCTGAACTCAACTGTTCCGGAAAGGTAGAAAAAGGGGAAGGACAATGCAAACAATTCCGACAGCTGAATTTTTTCTTCACTATCTCCTTAGTATCTAAGTATTTTAAAATACACATCATATAGGCAATTTAGATCCTTAAGTCTGGTCAATAACTTCTTTATTTTTAAGTAAGTGTTTATTGATTTTCAGAGAGAGGGAGTGAGAGGGAGAGAGTGATAGAAACAACAAATGATGAGAGAGAATCATCGATCCACTGCCTCCTGCCCACCCCCGACTGAGGATCGAGCTCGAAACCCAGGCAAGTGTCCTGACCAGGAATCGAACCATGACCTCCTGGTTCATGGGTTGATGCTCAATCCCTGATGCTTTATTTTTAAGTAAGTGTTTATTGATTTTCAGAGAGAGGGAGTGAGATGGAGAGAGTGATAGAAACAACAAATGATGAGAGAGAATCATCGATCCACTGCCCCCTGCCCACCCCTGACTGCGGATCGAGCTCGAAACCCGGGCAAGTGTCCTGACCAGGAATCGAACCATGACCTCCTGGTTCATGGGTTGATGCTCAATCCCTGAGCCACAACAGCCGAGCAATTTGGGCCAATAACGTAAAGAAGTTAAGAAGTTGTGGCAGAAGTATGGTGTAAATGTCCTTTGACCTTAAAGCAACTCCATTATTTTAGAGCCTTGGTAATTTTCCTTTGGTTGGTGATTCTGCCTGTTCACAGTAGTCATTGTTTTGTTCTATTAGTAACACAATTTTTGTGCTCAGTGGATACTCGTTGCAGTAGGAAACCGTATATGTATTTGCTGTCATCTTTTGACCTTATATAGTATTTCCCCCCTTATTTGAGGTTCTGCTTTCTTCAGTTTCAGTTGCTTGCAGTCAACCTCCATTCAAAAGTATTAAATGGAAAATTCCAGAAATAAACAATCCCTGAGTTTTAAACTGTACGCTGCCGGTGCCATCCCCTTCCTCCCAGAACATGAGTCTTCCCTTTGTCTGGCATATCCACGACGTACACGCTGCCCACTCACTAGTCACTTAGTAGCTGTCTTGGTTATCAGACTGACTGTCACATTGTAGTGAGTATGTTCAAGTAACCTTGATTTTACTTAATAATGTCACATTCATGTAACTTTTATTACAGTATATGGGTATAATTGTTCTATTTTATTATTGTTGTTAATCACTTATTATGCCTAATTTATAAATTAAACTTCATCACAGGTGTATATGTGTAGGAAAAAACAGTATACATAAGGTTCACTACTATCCAGTTTCAGGCATCCACTAGCGCCTGTGGTCTTGGGACAAATCCCCCACAGAGAAGGGGAACTGCTGTGTCTATAATACAGGAATCCAGGCAGCTTTTGACAGGGTGGTAGAAATGTGCCCAATCAAATACAGGAACAGTTTTGTTGTGGAAATGTGCCCAATGACCAACAAATACAGGGACAGTTTTGTTAGGATTGTAGATAAATAGGTAACTGTATGGCTTCTAGAATTTTTTCAATGTTAAATTTCCAGTAAAAAAAAAAATTCTTAAAAGGCCCATAACTACAAATGAGATCATAATTTCTTTCTCCGATGAAAAAAACAGTTGATTTCCTTCATGCCATCAGGAATATGTCACTCTTTCTCCATATTTACATTATCTGCCAACAATGATTGTTGCTACTGTTCGTTTTACTTTCAGAGGCTCTAGGACAGGGATAACAGACACATGGCCACACCTCCAGCTCCCACACCGACTTCTGTACCTGACTGAAGTTCACCAGGAGAAGGAAACCCTGATCTAGATCATCCGCTCCAGGAACCAGGCACCATATCTATTTATCGCCTCGTGACTCCACGTCCTGGCTCATGGATGAAGGGAAAGGGGCATACTTGAATAAATATGACACGGGCAAAGTGGCTTGGACCTGGTTTCCTTTCATTTCTATCCCTCTCTGTTTATAGATAGCATTCTAGGTGTCCCTTTTTTAACTTAAAAGAATTCAAACTCCTCCATATGAAAGCAGACTATTCTCATTAGAAACTGTGAACAGAGTAGTCACTGATTATTTCTGGCATAAAAGGTAGCACACTACCTCTGCACGCGGTACACTCGAGTCCATGGAGGCACAAGGGCAAGGATCCGAGCCACCAATTCGATCAGGTCACTAGGCGAATAACTCTTATAGCGTCCTGACTTCCACAGCTCATAAAGCCCAGTTCCACGAATCACCAGGGTCGGGTAAAGTTTTAAACCATCGGGACGAAAAGCAGGGTTCTCAAAAAACTCCTGTGAATAGAGAACAGAAGATTACTTCTCCATTAGTTACGTAGAGATTACGCATGCAAGTTTCAAACCTGGGCCAGCGTCTCTCACATACCTGCCTGGTCCTTAGAATGCCTTTCCTTTCCACCCAAGGAGGGGATGCAGACAGAACAGGAATCCATTGTTTTTATGGCCTCACTAGGGCAAAGCATGTTTGCTGGACCCAAGGCCCTCATCACAGCCCCTGTCCATTGCTGCAATGTCACCGCATGCCACTCTCACCACCTTGCCTTTTCGCCCCTACACAGGCAATTTTCTCTGCCTGGAAAGTCCCTCAATTTTTCTTCATCTAGCTAATCTTCAGGCCTCGGCTTAAATGTCAGTTCTTCAGAGAGGCCTTCCTGACCTTCAAATATAAACTGCCTGACTTAAAAAAAAAATCCTATTGAGTTCCTATTACCACTTTCTTAACATCATCATACTGACAATTTATCCAGTGCCTACCTTCACGGCTAGACTGTATAATCTTTTAATAATGAAACATATTGTGCCAGAGATCACCATCTGGCCTGCAAACCTAAAATGTCTACTATATGGCCCTATGCAGAAAGTGTGCCGATCCCTGGATAGGACTATTTTGTCCTCAGACCAACTGGCACCATTCCTAACCTGGGACATACACTCTCCATTTGTTATCTGGACATTGAGGGATACATCTAATTCATCTACTGTGACATAGCCATTTCCTGTACTATGTCATCCCAGCTGGCTGCCTTATTTCTTTATTTGGGATGTAGCAGGAAAACATAAGGCAGTCTCCCTTCCACGACTCTGCACTCCTAATTTGTTCTTATCTTGATTTTGCAGGATATATGGTGGAGATGAAGGTGGATTCATACAGTTCCCTTCACCCCCACCCTAGCTTTAGCATCTATTCAGCCAGCAGTACCATATCTTCTGAACTGTAAAATGCTTTTTATCTTGTGCTCTGTTATTCCTGCAGAGCTATCCATTATTTAACTTGCTTTACAAAGAAATGTAACTGCAGGGTATTTGATCTCTCTCACTGATTTGTCATATTCTTAAAATGCTATCTTCTTTGTGTACACTTTGGTCTTAAAGATATTCCTTTGTAATATTTATATAGTAAAGATTCATCAGGCCTTTAATAAATAGTCTATAGCCATCCACAAAGAGTATGCATGCGAGTCATTCTCTTCCTAGTTTGATTCCGTATTGAAACATGGGGTTTTAGAAAAGTACTTCTGAAACTTGTATAATAAATTTAGGAGATATATAGGCTGACATACTCCTTTAAAAAGAATAATAGGTAAAACTGGTTCTAGATTTCTGGTTAAACACTAAGAATTTAAATATGTGTTTCTTTCCTTCCCAAACCATGCTAAATTTTTGTTTTAATTTTAAAT